ACCATAGGGTTTTTTACTTCACACATGCCTACTAATAAAGAAATGGACCACTGTTGCAAGTAGAAATTAGTAATTTCTTAGACCCTTTGATATAGGTCATAAGACAAGGCAATGCTCTATGTCAATGGAGCCATTGGTTGCCATAACTACCATCAAATACACAGCACACATCAATGCAAAAGCCTGTTTAATGAAATTCTTAACCTGGCTTTTTGCCTTTCAGGATATGCAACCCTTGATGAAGATATTATTCTCTTTGTACTGTAATGCAGTGCTAAAACATCTGCTTCCCACATGATTAATTTAACAAATAAGTCAACACACAGTGAGGCATACTCAGAAACAGGACACTGGGGAATGAAATAGCCAAAGTGTAGAGGCTCTCTAGTATATCAGGTTATTGTCTACAGGCTTAAAGGGGAATCGGAACAAGACAGCCACAGGAACAAGACGGTACACATCACTAACAGGTTATTGACCCGTTATACTCTTATTACAAACACATGGCATATTGCTTTCTTCAAGCTTATTTTATGAACTATCAAGTTTCATTATAACACAAGATCATCTACCAACCAAAAAATACTCCAGTCTGAATTTTCCCCTGTCCAACTGCAGGGGGTTTTTTCCTCCAACAGATGAACTCGCTTGCTGAACTATGAGCATATGTCTAATATAAATACTTTAGAACTAAAGATCTTGCCTTCTTCAAAATATTATTAATTATCTTTGATGGAGCTGCAAAACTCTGTTTGCCCATGGCTAGATACCATATGGGAGACAAACTATTTTCACCTACTGACATATCACTGGATCTTAAAATCTATTAAACCTTGCCACAACTAAAGTTCTTAATACTTTGACAAGCAGCTACATCTACAAACTTGGATATTTCCTAAAGTCTAAATTACATTCTAGTAGATCAGACCAACTGCACTTAACTTAATAATCAAAACCACTGAAATTTGCATAGGAATCAAAAGGTTCAAAAGTGTGACAATCTGATTTTTCTAAAACAAATGAGAATTACACAAGGCACCTAAAGCAAATCACCATCCATTTACTATGCTGTATTGCAGCTTCCTTATATGAAGGCATCTGAAATAAAAAAATTAACACTCATTTATCTCTAAAAAGTAAATTATAGATTTAATTAGTAATAAAAGATTAACAGACACAACCTTATAAATCATCCAAACCAGATCCAAACCTAGACCAAACCATCTCTAGATTTACATTAGCCACCCTAAAGGAAAAGAGAAGATACGCCAGATGGTAAACTGGAGAGATTTCCTTTAGTGCAGATCAATTACCTAAGACTTCATCAGAAGTATATTTTGAGATGCATCAAATAAAAAACTCTGAACATAGAAACCAGGTAACAAGAGCCAAGAGAAACAAACTACTGCTACTATAATATTCGTATACAGTATCTACAAAAAATTTTATCTGAGCAGGCAGATGGTAGATAAAGTTCGTAAGCAGGCTCCACATTTGATTCCCTTGCTATTAATAGAAGCCTTGGCTGTGGTGGCCAAGGTTATATCGGGCTAGACATACTCTAGTTTCCTGAATCTACCATGAAGGCCACCTAACTTTAACAGGCAAAACATTACCTTTGTAATTGTGCAATTGATTTGTATACACAAAGTTCAATCAGTCTATCTAAACATGCTGCACTGAAGCAATTCAAGTCAATAGGCAAAACTGTGTGTGTGTGTGTTTGCACACATTAATGTTTTTACATTGGTTTAAGCTTAACTTTGTGTTGCACAGCAAAGTTTCTAGTTCACTTAATTGCCCTGGCTTAACATCAATTCTTTAGATAAGCAGGAGCGACCTTCTGTTGAGTGCAGGCACCCCACACACTGTCATGTGTTGTTCTCCCGTATGACCACAAGGACTGTTCAACTCAAGAGTGTTGTTTCTGAACGGATACTATGGAATTTTTTACCTAAAACGATCAAACTTCCTGAAGGGACCTACTTCACACCCAAGACAATTTTATTCCTGAGTCCTACTATTAAAAGTAATAAGCAGGGTAAGTATAATAGAAATCTGAATAGTTTTACTCCCTCAGGGTTTGCATCAGTTTATGCTGCAAATTTAACAGCATTTTTTAAATTCTTCTTTATTTATCTTATTTAATCTATCTTATTTAAGAACAGTAATTCCTCAAGAAGAAAACAGTTTAAAATAGGAAAAGACAGTTGTGAAAGCTACAAAGTCTGGGATGAGAACAGTATCAGAAGTCATTTTAATATTTACCTAAAGTAGTTGAATTTGTCTGTGCTCTATTAAAATCCTACCACTAAGAGGAGCCCTAAATCTATCCCACACTCATCACTAGAAGTGACATTAAATTTTTTATCTTACTTCTCAAGATCAAGGGGAACCGTTACTTCAGCGATACTGAGGAAAGCAGAATCACCAGAAGTTGAAGAACTTATGAATCACTTCGGCAGCAGCCCCTTGAAACCATTTAAGATCAATGAAAACAAAAGGAGGAAAATAATTCTTCCACTGGAGGGAGTCTACCAATGAGAAAAGACTCCAGCAAAAAGGAAGAATGAAGAAATGATGAAAGCAGATAGCAAAAGAAACAAAGGGGGGAAAAAAAAACATGAGAAGACACAAAGAATAAAGCCACCTCAAGGCCTAGAGCAGAATGGTGACTACAGACACAAAAAATCAGAGCCAAGACAACAACCTTCAAGACACAAAAAAAAAAAGCAGAATTAGTGAAATCTCCAAGTAGAAATGCAAAACCAGAAGGAATCCCAAGACACAGAGTGAGTGTAGCAGAATTATACATTGTAAATTTTAAAAACATGACAAGAACCAAACAAAATGTTTTAATATTTCTATTTGTTCCTAGCATTTTCTGCTAGGTATGCCACAATTCAGGATTTATTAGGAAGAGATAAGATGCCTTTTAAGAGGAGAGAATGACATCTCACCCAGGCTAAGATAATCAAGATACAGGCTATTCTAGAAAGCTAGAGTCAGAAGAGAAGCCTCCCTCAAGAACTCCAACCTGTCTCCTGGCTAAGCCTTTAGCTCCCCGGTGAATGAACAGAAACATGGGAAGCTCCAGAAAGACAACCAGTTGTGAAATTTGAAATTTAATGGCCAGGTATCACCTCCATCCACTTACTGGTCGACTGATCTTTCCTTTTACTGTTGAATACAAAGGGAACAAAGAGGGATATAATGAGGTATCACATTCTTCTTTCTGAAGGTGGTACCATTTTCTCCTTTCACATTCTGACCAGGTACCAAACTCTTGCCTCCAGCAGGTCTGCACGCTCACAGAACACAAGAGACATTTGACCTCCCTAAACCCCTACCCTGTTTGTACCCATCCAAGAGCGACCAAATTCCTCGACTGAAAGCTGAGAATAGCTAAACCAGAAGGCCAGACGAACTGCAGACTGGGGAAGCACAGAAAAATGGCTCCCTCTTACTCCATCTGTTCACTCCAGCACATTTGCCCACATGAAGTCCAAAAGTATTTGGACAGACTTCAGGGCTGGCTGTGCTAGGCCAAGGCTGGGAGGGGACAGGTACTGCCCCACATGCCCTCCCTCCGCCTTATCGCCTTCCCTGGAGGCGGGAGCTCGGTGCAAGGGCAACCACATTTGCATTAGCCTCCTAAAAAAAACAACAAACAAACCACCACACAAACCAGGCACACACGCATCAACAAAGAAGGAGGAAGCCACCTCGCCGGACCCTCGCCCGGGGTCGGCGTCAGCCCCGCCTTCCCTCCCGGCAGCCGGTACCGGCTGCCGGGAGGGAAGGCGGGGCTGACGCCGACCCCGGGCGAGGGTCCGGCGAGGTGGCTTCCTCCTTCTTTGTTGATGCGTGTGTGCCTGGTTTGTGTGGTGGTTTGTTTGTTGTTTTTTTTAGGAGGCTAATGCAAATGTGGTTGCCCTTGCACCGAGCTCCCGCCTCCAGGGAAGGCGATAAGGCGGAGGGAGGGCATGTGGGGCAGTACCTGTCCCCTCCCAGCCTTGGCCTAGCACAGCCAGCCCTGAAGTCTGTCCAAATACTTTTGGACTTCATGTGGGCAAATGTGCTGGAGTGAACAGATGGAGTAAGAGGGAGCCATTTTTCTGTGCTTCCCCAGTCTGCTCCCCGCCCGACAGCAGGCAGCGGCACCACTCCAGCGCCTCGGCCGCCGCCTCGCCGCCGCCCGGGCCCGCCGCGGGAGCCAGCACCCGCTCCAGCAGCGCCCGCAGCTCGCCCGCCGCCGCCGCTCCGCTCTCGCCGCCCAGCGCCGTCTTCAGCTCCGCCGCCTTCGCCCACTTATCCCGGCCGCTGGCGCCGGCCCCCGCCATGATGGGAAACTGAGGAGCCGTTACGGCTGCGCCAGGCTCCCGGCTCTGGGGGTCCCCCCCCCCACCCCCGCCCCCCTCTCTCCCCTCCCAGCGGCGCCTCCCTCTCGCGATAGCCGCGGAACCGGCGCCCTCTCCGCCGCCCGCCCGCTCCCTCCTCCTGACACTGCCTCTCCCCTCCCCTCCCCTGACATTACCCCTCCTCTTCCTCTGCCCTCCCCGCCGGCCCGGGCACCGCGCAGGTGCGCCGCCGCCCCACAAAATGTCGGCCCCCGTTCGTTGCCATGAAACTTCGTTCCAGGGCGGCGGCGGGCACGGCAGGGCAGGGGCGGCCTGACCGCCCTTCGCCTGGAGGACCCACCTGGAGGGGCCGGCGCCCCCGGCGGCAGCGGAGTCGTCTTTGTTACCGGGCCGCTCCTCCGGCGAGGCGGCTGCCGGGAAGCGAAGGCACCGCGCCGGTGTGCCCGACCGCGGGGGTCCCGCCGGGCTGAGGCGGCGGCTCTGAGGGCCGGGGACGCGGGAAGCACCTTGGAGACCCACGGGCAGCCCCACTAGCGCGGCGGGGGCGGCACCGCACCGCGCTGGGGACCCCCCTCCGGTGGCCGGGGCCACCCGCAGCCCCGCGCCCTGAGGGACCGGGGAGCCTCTGCTCGCTCCCGGCGGGAGAGAGTGTGTTTGGATGCGAGTTCCCGTAGCTTTACATGCGGATCAACAGTTTTAAATAGATTTTCAACTCTGTAATGGAAGAAATTATTTTAACAAAACCCAAACTCTAACCCTGTCCCTCAAAGAAAGTAACGTTTACTCTGACAGCCACAAGACGCCCGAGGCGGACGCCGCTCTGCTGGCCGTGCCGCCCTGTCTCCGACGGCCGCCCGCCTCCCGGTGACCGGCGGAGCGGCCCCTCAGGGCAGGGAATGGCGGGCGCGCGGCGCGGCGGGTCTCCCCCCGGGGAGGAAAACATGAGAAAAGTCAGTGAATCTCTTAATTTCCTCTCAAGCACCGTCCTTCCCGCCGGACCGGCAGAGGTCCCTCTCCGCGCTGAGGGGACGCACCCGGGGGCCGGGCTTTCACCGGCTCCCAGTGGCGGTGACGCATAAGGTTGTAACGAAACGTATCACGTTCATAGTGCGTGACGGGTCTCAGCCGCGGGTGACAAGAAGGGGAAAGTTCCGCTGCGTTTCACGCCCCGCACCTCCCCGTTCTCCCGGGACCGGTCGGTAGCCCTGCCTCAGGGGCGGGGCGCGGCGCCGGGGGTTGGCTCGGGGCGCGGCGGAAGTGCTCGCCGGAGCTCGGCCCGGCCCGGCCCCTCAGCCTGCCCTGCCGGGCTGCGGTGAGTGGCGGCGGTGTCACGGCAGGGGGTGGAGGTGTGTGTGGGCCTGCGGCTCCGCCGGCGAGGGTCGGGCGAGCGGGGTAGGTGGTGGAGCTCCCCCGGGGCTCGGTTGCTGCTCCGCTGAGGGCCGGACGCCTCTCTGGGCGGCGGGCGGGGCCTGGCGGTAGGAGCGGAGCGCCGGGCTGAGGGGCCTCCGAAGCGGGAGCCGGTTACCGGCGGTGCTTTAGGAAAGGGGCTGCCGCGGCCCGGGAACGGCCTCCCGTTAGCCGGCCCCGCGCTTGTGTCTCCCCCGGTGATGGGAGGGCCGTCAGCTGGATCCCTGAAACCCCTGCAGGGAACACCTGGGAGACGGAGAGGAGCATTTAAGTGTAAAATAATATGTAGTTTATTTATGTCATTGCAACTGATTACACGTTATTTTCCTCAGTTAAACCGTAAACATGAAGCTTAAAGAACTGGAAAGCTGTCTTCAACAAGTCGATTCTTTTGAAAGTCCAAAACTACTCCTTGAGCAGTACCCAACAAGACCTCACATCGCAGGTAGAGGTGACCGACAGCACCGGTGTCTCTTCTAATAGTTCTTAATCAGCACTTTAAAATTATTACCAAAAAAAAAAAAAAAGTGTTTCTACTGCATTATCTCATTTGAACCATTTACACCGAAAAGTAGTTGAGAAATTGTATCCGGCAGGAATGTAATTAATTGTTTTTTAATGAACTGTTGATTTCTTTTCATTAGAAGTACACTCTTAATGTACAATCAAAAAAATCAAGTATATTGATTTAAAGGATAATGTTGTGATGGAAACATCTTAACCTGTAAATGAGAAAGCTGAAATGGACTTATTTCATGATGTACAAGAAACAGTAAAAGCGTATTTAGATACTCATCCATACCCTAGTTATTATTTTTCCAATTTTTACATCTATTGTTTTCCCCCAAACATAGAGGCATACTTTTTCCACAAACAATACTCACAGATCTATGTGTATTCTCTTTACCAAAGATTTAGAGTTCTGTAACTCATCAAGCTGATTTTGAGTTGTTTTCACATATAAATGAAAAAGAGAATTACAGGCAATGAGAACATCTTTGTATTGCAAGAAACCCTTACTTCATAGTTTTCTGAAGGCAGACATAACTTTTCTTGATTAATCAGAGGCATATTTGATATTGACCTGTGATTTTTGTGTTTTGTTGTTGTTTTTTATCCAGCATGTATGCTTTATACAATTCACAATACTTTTGACGATATTGAAAACAAAACAATTGCAGATTTAGGATGTGGTTGTGGCATGCTCAGCATTGGAAGCACAATGTTAGGAGCAGGGTAAGTATTTAATACTAAGTTCTGGTTGTGTTTTTTTCTTGCACAGAAGAGTAGCAAATAAGATTAGAACACAGAACAATGCTGAACAAAACTAATTTTAGGTATTTAATCTGGTGCATAATGAGGCTATTTAATATGTGTAGACAGTCAGTAATCATTCAAGTAGTGGAAGAGATGGACAGTTGCCATGAATTTTGAAGTCATAACATTTGCTTTCCCCTGAAGCACTAAATGAACAAATGAAACTTCCTTCACAAACTTATTTGGGAAAGGGCAACAGAACTACTTGCATTTTTATCAGCACTGAATTTATAGCATATGTTTGTTGCATTTCCTACATAAAATGAGTTGTGTGCACAGATCCTCTTAACTCTTCTATACAATTTAAACGCCATTTCATTTTGCAAGAGACTAATATGTGGCACTTTTTTTTGTTTTTTAATAGATTGTGTGTGGGGTTTGACATAGATGCAGATGCACTGGAAATATTTAATAGCAATATTGAAGACTTTGAGCTCACAAACATCGACATGGTTCAGTGCGATGTCTGTTCTTTATCTGACAGCATGGCAGAGGCTTTTGATACAGTTATTATGAACCCTCCATTTGGCACCAAGCATAATAAAGGTTGGTAATTTTGAAAGTCAGTTAGAAATTATTAGGAATGAAATAGCAAAAGAAACACTTTTCGATGAAACATCTCCCTTCTTTATCTCAATTACCTATTGTAATTACCTAGTTTTGCTGATCTGGAATCAGTTTCCTAAGTACAAATCAACAACTTCAGCATTGCAATCAACAATTGCTGAGTTTGAAATAAACAATACTAGCTATTTCATATCCCTGTAATTTTTCTCTCTCTTAGTAAATGCAATTGGGTAAGTTTTAGAAATACATTCTGTACCTTTATGTATTCAGTGCTGTTTCTCAAATAGCTATTACTCCAGGAAAATTGAAGCGTGAAGCAGGTATTTAAATCCTTTAGTTTAAGCTTGTGTCTAACAGTTCTAATAATTTCAACATTTCTTTTAGGAATGGATATGATTTTTCTGAAAACTGCTTTACAAATGGCAAAAACAGCTGTATATTCCCTTCACAAAACTTCAACACGGCAGGTAAGTCCTTCATTTTAGTAGGGAAAACATTAATCAGGCAATGAAGTAGCTGGCGTTTAATGATGCTGTCTTATAGCTTCATTGATTTGTTCACACCTTTACGTGGTAGGAGACTTGTTTGAGGTAAATACTAATCATGTTGAATAACCGGGATGGCACATACATCAAGAGAAGTATGTGATCTAATGTTTCAGCTTGGAAAACAAAAGCACAGGAGACTTCTTAAATAAGTACAGGGGCGTAGATGTTTATATGACACCACAGAAAAAGAGCTTTTAAATTTATTTGTATCTATTTAATATTGTAGCACATTCAAAAGAAAGCAGATGAATGGGAAGTGAAGATGGAAGTCATAGCAGGTAAGATTAATTTGTTGTTCAAGAAAAACAAAAGAAAGAAACTGTTTGTTTGGGGATAATACCTGTAACACTACCAGCCAGTCTTATCGGCCTGAGGTAAATTTAAGTGTGATTTATCATTGAAAATGATAAATGACACAGGTCTTTAAGCAGCTTTTTTTTTTTTTTAATACCTTGCTACTTGGCTAGAATACAAGCCGGCACAAAGTAAAGCTCTAAGGAATAAATATTCTGTGCAGAACTAGAGTTGGATTTTTCCCTGGACTAGATTTTGCCTCAGAGCAGAAGTCACCTACCTTCCTGCTTCGTAAGGTGATTGTTGCAGAATTACAACAGCAAAGTACAGGTCAGTTCTGACACAAAAACGCATCCTGTCCTTACAGGCACCTAAATATTTTTTTGACAGTTGTTCAGGTATCTTCCCAATTCTCAAATATCGCCAGCTGGATGTTTTATACAGTCATACAGCTTGAGACATGGAAATTGCACAAATGCTTGGAACACAACTGCATTTCAGCCATCCACATACTGTGTGATGTAGTTGGCTTAAATCTCCAGTCATGACCTAGTCCAGAGGTTAACACAGTTATCCAGTCAGGGGGCAACAGAGGTGGGCAATACAAGAACATGGCTGTGGGGTGTAACTCAACTGACTGACAGTCACCCTAGCGTAACAAGTGTTCTTCGTACTGTTCACAGAACTTCGGTATGACCTACCAGCATCATACAAGTTCCATAAGAAGAAATCAGTAAGTATAAACCCTAACACAACTGAGAAAATGCATTATCTTGTACTAGACAGATAAATAAATTCTATTTAAGAAAATTTAAGTTTTAGGGCTGTACGTACTGGATGAGGAATGCTCACAGCATCACAAATATTAAAGCCAGCACTGCAACTAGATGCGAAGAAGCTGAGGGTAGCCTCCTTGACTCAACTTCAAATAGCTATTTGCTTGATCCCGCCTGCAGCTGGAATTTAGCCTGAATTAAGTAATGAAGGCCAAAGTAGCCAGGATTTTATAGCTGCAGCATTATTTCAGTGTTTTATGCTCTGCACTGCAAGTAGCTACAGCCAGTGAAATCCCTCATAGACCATTCTAGGGGGGTAGGAGGAAGCTGTGTGCTTCATCCCACAACACAGGATTGACCCAGGATGCTAGAGGAGGGCAAGTTCCTGGGTGCTGAATGCTGGCCTAGGAGACATTTATCCCATCAGCACAAGGGAAGTGGAGGGAATCCTAAAGTAGACGGAGCAAGATGTGAAGAATGTTAGGTATGCTGAGTAGCAAAGGCTAGAAGTTCTATTCAGCTGTACCTGATGACTTGAACTTAAATGATGGAAGTCTGTACTTTAGCTTTGCTACTTCAAGGTTACAGCTTTATACTACATTAACATCCAGGCTTGAGTAGTAAGGAGTTTGAAGTTCTGAATTTATTGGCAGCTGCTATTTTAATATAACTGCAAGATTACAAAGTCCAGAACCTTTTACATTTGAACGAGGAGCCAGAGAAGTTGAGAGGATCTGACAGTATAAACAAAACTATAAATATAAAAGAACTTTCCAGGGTGGTATGTTAAGAGTAAGCATGCTTTTTTAACAAAAAAAAAAAACCAACAACCTGTAACCCAACAAAATGAAGGTTTCCTGTCATTGTAGGTTGACATTGAAGTGGATTTCATTAGATTTTCTGCCAAGAAACTCCTGAACTGAGGCGTGTCTTTAAAACCTTTTGAAAATGGAACAATAAAACCAATTATTTTTTTTTTATTTCAGTATTACTGATCTCCATCTCCGTTTTCTGTTTTGAGTTGTTTTGATGCAGGTTCTTCTTTTTCTGTTTCCTCTAGTGGTCTTTTCTTGGGACTTGCTGGTTCTGCAAGATTGAATAGGTAGTATTTATAGTAAAGGAAAGCATTTCAGTATTACCAGAAATCTTCTGAAAAAACAAACCCTTCCTACTATCTCAGTTCACGGATGAGTCCTAGTTTATCCAAAACCACTGCTATGCTAAAGGGTTTACTTATTGCTGCAACTTAGAACTTTTAGATGTTCTAATACACCAACTTTGAACAACTTCTTTCCTGTATAATTTTACAGCAGATAAGATGAAGGAATACAATCTAATAAGAATAGGTTTCCCTAGGGTTTGTTTAAGCTGGTGACACATCTAATGAACAGAAACTTAGCTCTTCATCTTCTCCAAGCTAAATACCAATATGCTGAATAGCCTTCTCGTATCCTCCAGGAAGACTCTCACTTGAGACTGGGTCTGTACAGTTGAGTAATGTTGCCAACAACTACCATCTTTCAATGCAGAACGCTTTAAAGAGCCCTGTAGCACAGACTCAGCTATCTAGTCATTATTTTAATATGCTTTTTGGACAGTTGTGGAAGGAATCAAGCAGAAGACCCTTAAAGTTACCTTACTGATAATGACAGAGGACAAAAATAGTACAATGTAGGGCAAGATCTGAAACACTTGTAAGAAACATGGGTACTTCTCCAGAAAGTAGCTCCATATACTAAAGAAGCTGCTTCCAGTGCACAGAACGACATACCTGTTTTAGTATCATCTTCGCCACCTTCTTCTTCATTGTCAAACTTTATTTTCTTCCCCTGAAACTGTACTTTCCCTTTGTGTGCACCTTGAGGTACCTTTCCTCCTCTTCCTTTTCCTTTCATTTTGCTTAACGTGGGGATATAAGAGATGTAAGATGTCAATAACTTTGTATCATTTGTCTTTAAACTGGCAAGTTCAAAAGAATGCTTTACATTTAGTCAGTGCTTAGTATGTATTCACTATTTACAGTTTCACACAATGCCATTTCTAGGACATTATAAATGCTTAAACCAATGAAAGGAGGACCTTTTGTTTTCTGTTTCAGTAATTCTTGCTGATCTTCCAGTATTTTTTTCAGAGCTTCTTTCTCTGCATCTCCTTCTATCACCTCCCATGTAACATCCTTGTTCCGAAGCTGTAAACTTCCGTTATGCGCTGCTTTGGCTTTTTCCAGGGCTTCTTTTGCAATATCCTTAAATAGGATAATTCCCTTAAAAAGAAGAGTGGCATTTGCACTTAAATCTTTCTGTGAAAGCATTCAGCTAGAATAATGAACAACATATCCTGTTCGGTACTTCAAGTTTTTTTACTCTTGCATGACATAAAATATGCCTAGACTGCAGCAAAACCCTCAGACTGTCCTGACAAACATTCTCAGTTTTGAACTGAGAAGGCTGGAACCTTTATCTGTTTTTTTGAAAGGTTATAGGAATAATTTAATAATCTAAATCATCTGCAATTCCAAAAGTGAAATAAGTAATTTCTTATTTGATTACATAATAGAACAAGCATTTAATCATTCAGTTTCAAACTTTAATACGGAGATCTTAACTCCTTGACCAAGATTCTACTGACCTCCTTTGCACCTCTGACAAAGTGTATCCATTTGATTTCTCCGTGATTAGAAAATACATCATGGAGATCTTCTCTGCATGTTTGATCATCTAGATCACCAGAGAACTTCAAAAGACATCCTGTCTTTTCTTCCAGAGACTTCTAAATGAAATTTAAAAAAAAACAAACACATTTTTATTGAAGAGCCAAGCTTGAATATTCCCCCCCCCCCCCACCCCAATCCTATGACTATTAAAACACGACAGTGATAAATGAGCAATTAAAGTCACTCCCCGCAGCACCATCAGTAACCCAAGCGGTCTTCCTACAGAGTTTATTTATGCTGATGTCCAAGTCTTGCAGGGGGTGTGTGTCCCCCCTCTTTTTTTTTCTTCCCCTTTTTAAAATTTTCTTCGCTTACTGTAATACATTTTTGTGAAACTTATGATTCCTTTCCTGTAAGAGAGTTACACTCTTTAAATTCTACAAAACAGATTTCTGAAGGCTGAAAATCTGTATAATACTGATTAAATCCTTACTGAATCTTTCAGCTATCCCAGAAGAACAATCATCTCAATGGTGCATTTAGTATCACTTCTGAACAGGTGATTGCTTGCCTAATAATTTAAATTCAGGAAAGGATCCTTTAAACAAAAATTAGTCTCTTGAAAATAAGATTAAATACCATGACAAAACAAAGCCTCACTGTAGGTTAGTTGGAAAAGCTGAAGTGACTTTCTAGCAAGTGCTCTGTGTTACAGAATTTCAAACTGGATATCCTACATGTCAGCTTTACAAAATGTAGCTGCAGGAGCACGTTTGTTACATGTGGATTGAAAATCCTTACAAAGGCAAGCGCTACATGGTTTTCAGGTATAGAGATTTAAGAAACCCATACCATTTCAGCATCTGCTGCTTGTTTCTGTTTTTCTTCTTTTTCCCTGTAGAAAAGTTACATTAGTTAGAGTTGGTTCAAGTGTGGTCAGGTGAACAAAAAAAGGCACTTCAACTGATAATGACTTACTGTTTAGCTCTTGCTTTGGCTTCTACTTTGTTTTGTTTCCTTTCCTCATTCTTCTTTGTACAATACTCCTCCCTTTAACAGAATATTAGTGGAGTTAATACCACTAAAAATATTACATTATAATTACTTTATAAGACAGCAGTAGCCAAGAAACAGTTGTGATGCCAGTCTCCAAAAGGTACAGCTCTCAATATCTGTCCAACAGTGCAGAAACTTACACTCTTGGCACAAGCCAGGTTCTTGTCTAAATCCACCCTTGACCATTACTAGTTCATAGATCAGTTAAATGGACTTACTTGAAAAGTACGATCAGCTCTGTGTCTTTGTACTTTTGGTTTGGGATCTCCGTGAACTTCTTAGCAGACTCAACACTATCGAAAACTGCAAATATTGAGCCCTGTTAAATGGCAAGAGACATTTAGCATTAGAGTCATTGAAGAGAATGTTGTCCAGGGGTGGACCCTGCCCCAGGTCTAACTGTTCATCGCAAGAGCTACCTTAAATGTTCTCTGCAATGTTCTTCTCATTTGAATGTTTTCAACTGGACCTTTATCCTCAAGCCATTCTTTGATATCATCAAGAGTTGCATCTAGTGGAAAGCCTTTCTGCAAGACAGCAACAAGCTTTAATTATATGCAACCAACTGACAGTCAGAAATTATAAGTATGAGCTTTACTTAGATGGTTTTCAGTTGAAGTCATGCAGAACAGCACAGAGCAAAGGAAGAAGTTTACTTACAACATACACAGATCTGTTTTTAATTGCAGCCTTATACTGGTCATTTAATTCAGGAAGGGGTTTATTTGGAGATCTTCTGATTTTAGTTTTGTCTTCATTTATTTCCATTAAACCAGTCTTGGATTTTCTTAGTGCTTCTACAATAACACTAAAATCTTTTGAAAGGCGACTTAACCTGTCGAGTAAGCAGAGACACATTATTACAAATACACAGGCAAAGCTGAAGCCAAATGTTAAAACAGCAACAGGGGTTGTACATGCAGAGCAGGGACATTTGGCCCCAAATAGAGATAAATAGCTGAAAGTCACCCTTCCAACCAGATTAGTTGTACTTTGTTTTACCTGTTGAATTTGATCATGACTTCTAAAGGCACCCAGCCATCATCTTGTTTGATCTGTTCCTTTAGGAACTTGTCTCTTGGTAGATTGTGATTGCCAAAGTAGTACTGCAAAAAAGAAAGAGGAGGAAGGCAGGGAAAGAAGTGTCTTTGAATGTTCAGTCTTAAAAGCTTGTTTTTATCTGACAACTTACAGCAATGGATTGAGACATACCAAAATTCATTAATCTCAAGAATTAGAAATTCTGAAATTATTGCTTCCTGCTTTAATGTGACACTTGTCCAAAAGCCAACTGTTAACATGTAAGCTTGTAAAAAACTCAGTGCTTCATCCAGTGGGACTAAATGAGGCAAAGGGAGACTGCAGTTTTGTTTAGGAAAGGCACGAAGCTTATTCTGTTAACATAATTAATCATCAACCTGACCAAGCTCCAAAGTGTCAAAAGCCAAATTTGTCACCAACAGATTTGGGTTTTAATTCTTATTTAAGAAATGTATAAGCAAGAACATTGTATTTGCCACACCAAGACATTATACACGTAGAGTTGAGTTTCTAGGTCTCATTCCAGAAAATACTGTAAGATAAATAGATTGGTTTTATTTTAATTTACTGTTCTCATTTTGATCACGACCAGCATGGGAAGACAATTCAGTACAAGACAGACAAGATCGCTTCTTTTGCTTACCACCAGTCATCTAACTGGAGTAAAATACTTGAAGCCACAGGTTAAGTTGGAGAGTTTCCACCAATATCATTGCGCTTTAAAAAGTCAGCGCAGGCTTTACAACAATACCTCTCCTTCTAGTATACCTCAAACTCACATTACCACAAGTCTAGCTTTGTCAACTATTTTTTCCTCAATCTCTGCATTTTGTTTTGTTTCCCCCAAGCCCCCCTCCAAAAATAATGACTGCAGCTCCATATGCTAATGAGAATTCACATGCAGCTGTATTTTTGTCCTTCAGGGAAACATTTTTGTTCTAGGTGTCATTTGAAGTGATGTCCTCAGTTTTCCATTGTAGGGTAACCCTCCAAGCCTCTTCCCAAGTAGGACAATTTTTGTGTGTGCCTCTTCCTCAATTAAGTCATACAGAATTAAATGCATCTTTGTATTTGCATAGATAGAATAACAAATGAACACAGTAATTGTTTAATGATACATTCACTTGCTAGAGCACCTAAAACACTAGCAAGTTACACATTTTGTGTTTTTAAATGGTGGTCTTACAGGCAACTCTCAGTAAGTATAATTTCCAACTTAGACAACAATTATGTATTATATGAAAGTATTAAATACCTGTCATAGACCTGTGACAGGCATCTTTTAACTGACTTTTTTTAGTTTTCTGAAGTTAACTTCCCATTAGCCAAGTCCCTACCAATGAACAACTCAAAAACTGCATCTCAGTCCAAATCCCAAACTATGAACTGAACTTACCTCAATTTGCTGACAGATTTTGCTTTCCAAAATAGACATATTTTCACCATCTCCATTTTCAGCCATTTTCACCAGCTGTGTTGAAGAGAACATAGAGCAAATGCATTAAGTATTGAATAGTACATTTTACAGACATATGTTCATATAGTATTGCATTTCACCTTTCACCACAGCATCATCTAAACGAGAACAGATAAATTCTTTAACCATACATTTATGCTTGTGAGCCATCTGTAAACAAAACTCCAAGGGGAAACTATGAAACAACTGGAAAAAAAAAACCCCAAGTAAAATACTTTGGTTGCGGCAGCATTTGGTAGCCTACAGCCAAGATAAGTAAAAACACGCTTGCACTTCACAGAATTATTTGTTATTTATCTTTTTCTAGGCACAGATCCTCAGTTGGTACCTAACAGCAACAAACCTGAGAGCCAATAACATTTGTACTTGAAGTCAAATCAAACGTCTCCTCTCTAGGCAAAACATCAATAACAAGAATTGTTTGACATTCCTAAATAGGTATAATTAGAACCTTTTCTGAAATTTCTGCCTCCTAATTAATCTTTGAAAGTTCAAGGAACTTACTGGGGGTATGAAAAAATACCTGCATTTACTAGTACATCCTAAAGGTGTCTAGTTCTCTCCTTTACAAATTGTCTTTACTGCAGTTCTGTCTGATTACAGAATCAGGCACCTTTGATAGGAGGTAAGATGTTTTAACTTGAAAGTAACTTTGCCCCTTAACTGGCATTAAGCATATAATCCCACTACATCAGATACAGTCACTATGTGCTCTAGAAGGTTGGTAAGAAAGCAGCTACTGGCCAGAAAGTTAACTGGGATCAGAAAATATCTACCTAGTTGCTCTTAAGATAAGGACAGAGTGCAAAGAGTAATCCTTGAGGAAAAATGCAGCTTTATAAAGCTGTCAGAAATTGGTTTGAATTCAGTCTTGACCTTCTGTCTCCCTTTGGTCACTATCACACTTGTTAAATCCAGCTACAGAAGATGAAGCAGCTTCCTGACCCTCAGTTACCCTAGTTCACAGATCAGGGATCACTATGGCTACTGGTAAAGACGGGTTTGCACTCCTGTCTTGCACAGTTTATTGGGAGATTTACACGTACACATTCTGCTCTTCTGCCACTCACAGGACAGTAACATCTTTCAAAGCATCAAGATGACTGACAATGCAGAAGCAGGGAAAACTCCCCTGAGACTCCCTTGTCACAGGAAATTATGTTCTTTATCAGGACACCCGCCTGGCAGCCCCATCTTATTTTAGTGGTTTAATTCACTGATCACCATTCAGCCCACTGCAGTCTGCAGTATTCCCCTTTCCTTCTCTTCCTGATCTCGAGCTACGTTACATCCTTTCACTTGCTTGTAATTCTTTTTCATCTAGGCACTTACAGCCTTAAAATTTGCATCCTGGTCTCCACTAGTGGCCTTCCACCTGTACTTAACATTGTAACACTCTTTACAGGATGATTTCAGTGTTAGCTGACAGCTGTGCTCAGAGCGTGATCCGTTTGTCTCTACAGCACTGTACAAAAATCCAGGCCATGTAACACCAGGTAACAGTTGCTGTTACTTAGAGATGTCTCACATTAGCCACCCTGACTACAGGAGACTTAATTAGCACCAACACCTCAATGTGGCAGTGACCTGTCTTAACGCTCCCTTGCGATGTTGTCCCCAACACCTGACTTGTGAAAGAAATTGGTGCTCTAATTGACAGTATACCTAATGTGGTGTAATTATTGGCAGTCCATGGGGTAGTCTCAGCTTTTTCCCTTGGATCAACTAATGGATCACACTCCTTGTGTGCTACTGTAACACCCGATCCAACAGAAGTTAATCCCCCTGAAGAAAGGGAAGAACAGTTCCACTAGATAAATATATCGCTGACTTGATTCAGCTTGTAGAAAACACAAGTGATGGAGCCGTGAGGGCAGGGAGCCAAGAGGAGAAAAAAAAAATAATTAAAAAAAAAATCAGAAAAACCTTTCCGTGGCAGCAAGCAGTTGTAGTAGGTTAGATTTGACATCAAACTATATCCTCCAGGTCAAAAAAAAGAAAAGTACCAAATGGCAGCTATGTGTATTTTGGTATTCTCAAACCTTAATTTGGTGATTTAACTCACATTGCAAAGTCTTCTCCAGGTGTGGCAGATTTTTTAAGCACTGGGCAACATACTTAAGTAAACCATTTTTTTCTGGGTGCTTTCCCCAGTACAGCTCAATTAATGCTTAAGACAACATACTAATTTACTAAGAGATGTGGAAAAATGCTGCTCTCTTGTATATTCTGAGGAAAAAATTAATTTGTACTTTAGTTGTGTACGCTGTTTTAAGAAAAATGCATTATGTTTGGAACAGAGACAATCTGCAGGTGCACACTGAAATACAGACTGAGCTGAGAGAGGAACCTTCCCTCACCACCTTCCATTTGGCCTCAAGTACACTGGCAAGAGTGAGCCGAGTGGAGACAGCTGCTTCATAGTGTGAAACACAGACCAGCCTCCAAGTGGGCTCTATCCACTCGCTCCTTCAGCAGCCTTTGCTGTTTCACCTGGCATATTGAATAACGCACAGATTTCTTGGAGCAAGTTTTCCCTTCATACAAGCATTTGTTTAGAACTTGGGGCCTTTTGGCTGCATGCTGTCAAATTCACCAGCAGTTCTACCCCAGTTAACAAGGTGAGGATTACACAGAGGCAGCACGTCTGAGGCAGTACAGTTACAAGAGACTCCGCTTATAAAGCTGTTGACTTTGCTTTGTTTAGAGAGAACACCCCCCCAGTCTGTCCAGGGTAGCCTGGCTCTTCTGGCCTTGCCAAAAACCACACCAGTGTGAAATACACAGGACAGCTGCCTTTTTCTGCTGGATACCCAAGGAGCTATTAAGAAATGCCAAGATAATAGTGCTGTGAAACACCAACAGAAGAACATACGCTTTGTCTTCACCTAGCTTCTGCCACCTAAACTCCTTCAGCTTTGGTATACCCTCAAATACTTCCCTAGCTCTCCCAGTCTGCCTCACCCCAGCTGGGTTAGGCAGATAGCCACCACCAGCAGCTTGCCTTCCACATAGTACAGCTCAGCTCCATCACTAAGAAGAGATGAAAAACAAAGTCTATTTCCTTAGCAGTATTTTCAAGGTAAAAACTCAACTGTACAGAAGGGTAAAACACCACAAGACCTGGGAGAAGTCCTTCAGATTAAGCCTTACACCTGGAAAAGATTTTCTAGAAAGCACCCATTCAGCTGCAAGTAACAATTAAGACAGACACGAGCTTGCCATACGTGGAGCTCAGTTCAGACACTGACCGAGCTGTAACCTATTTAGAATAAAAGCAGAAGCAGCCTTCTAATTTGAGAGAAATTCTATTCTTGCTGCACATGCTCACTCCAGCCTCTTTAGCTCAGTCATTTGGCACAAGCTGGTCTTCTGGATCCAGCTTCCAGATCGATAGTTTTCAGTCACTGTGCAGCAATGAAGACTGATAAAAAGCTGGCTCCACTGAAGAACGGTCACAGTCTGAGCAGCAAAATCCTACATAAGATTTTATTAGAAGTGCTTTCTTAGTAGGCCATACTGACTTGTTCCTTCTGTGTGCCAACAGCCTGTATCAGCACCGCTGAAAATGAAAACAAGTTAAGAGAACACAAGTAGGCATGAGACTTAAATTACAAACTGAGAAGGACAGTCAGGCCCCTTATCTAGAACAGTTTGATCCCGTGCTAGAGTAGCGAGATAATCCCAAAAGAACTCCCAAAAGTGGCTTTTCATCTTATCAGTCGCTTTAGTTTCAAGGTCCGGACAAAGCTTACTCGCTGTAATA